GGCCCCGCCGTACACGACGACAAACCGCAAGACCGCGCAACACGTGCTCGTGCAGTCAAAGCTGCGAAGTTGCAACACCGTAAGGTCTATCGTCGTGCTGTAATAGAGATTTTGTTCGTCTAATTGTTCCTCGGGCTTATGGCAATATAGGAAAGGAAATGGTTTTCGAGTTCAAGAAGCTGAATCCCGAGTACAGACAAATTTTCAAAAAATAATGGAAAAACCGGATGAAAAACGAGTACTTACCGGTAAAACCGGCTAGACACCAAGTACACACTGCACCAGCGCCTCTGCGACTTCAGCGGCATGGAGCTCTTAACGCTACGGAGTTTGCGCGCCAAATAATCTCACCCTGCAGTACATTAAGCATTGCTGGTTCTATCACCACCAATTCACCAAACTCCGGTACGTACGCCAGTGCACCGACGCTTTTATCTTCTAGCCTCCATTTTACTACAGCTCTAAGTTATCGTATTGACCTTGACACGCAGGAAATGACATGTAGCTCTCCGATTTCTCGTTACCCTGTGTCTCTGTAGTTTCAAGCCATGAGACGAAGTCAGCTGCGCTGACTGCAATGGAACTTTTCGACGCTCATCGCTACGTCCATAGCCATAACGACGGCAAGCGGGGGCGGTCTGTGACGTACAAGTGTGCTGAACATGACAATTGTGGACGAATCTTTCGCATACGAGCAGTGAGGACAACAGAGTTGAAGACCTTACCTTTTGTGTTGGAGGCAAAAGGATTGCATTCTGGAGAACCCACAGGTCGCAAAAAGACAGGGATCCACCCTGCATTTGCATTTGAAGTGGACACCGCTGCGATGGGCAAAGAAGGCCCTTAAGCCATCTTGAATTGTGTCTACCAATGGCGTGTAAAGTTTGTCGACGGTGACGAACTATTCTACGAGTGCCAAGACATTGCTGAGATCATCGCTGCATCGCGGAAGGTCGGACTCGACGTAACAAGTTTGGATGAGCAAGCGGAAGAAAACAGCTAAAAACATTTTTTTTTAATTAAAACACGCTTATTAATGTCAGAATTGGTAATACTTAAACGATTTCATAGCAGTGTATTCATCTCGGTTTGTGAGTAGTGAATCCAGTATATTTGTAGCGCTTCGTGTCTTCTTTCGATATATCGATAAAAGATGAAAAGCAACGCTTGTCCGGGGAAAGTATCATTTCTCTACGAACACATCGAAGTTCAGTTCACGTGGAGTAAATACTTTTTTTTAACTATTGGACGAAATAAATGAGATGTTTATACCGCACAGATACCGGTGTGCGCAGCGTACTCGAGGTTCCGCCTTTTCTCTACAAAGTGTACTCGGGTTTCCACCGTTTGTCTAAAACCAGTTCAAACTGATAGTTGTACTCGGGATTCAGCTTCGTGTACTCGGAATCAATCCGCACCCGCAATATAGGTAAGGATGTTCTAGCGATTCGCGTGCGTCAAGCTGCATATGCACACAGCTTCAAAAAAAAGGAAATTTTTAAAAGTGAAGCTTGCGTATGAACAAATGAACAGGTGAAGCATTTCCAACTAACTGAATGTCCATATTAGCCCGCCACACCGGCAGGAGGGCTGGGCAGTAATTGTTTAGACTATTATTTTCTCTTCTTAAATGCAACTGGATTAAAGGTGTTCCATCAATCGACATGTCGACTTCTACTTCGGTTTGCTCTCTTAAATCTTTTCGGATACCCATATCTACAAGTGTCACCTTGTTTCCGACATGATGAACCCGTTGTACACATATGTTGTTGCACCCGATGCACAAGACGTGACAAATCGCAATACCATTCCTGTTCATGACTTTTTGGTGGTCTTGCAGAAATAATATCGAGCTTGCTACTCTTTTCATGCGCGCAAACAGGACAGCTACAAACCTCTAAAACACTTTATCTTTTGCAAGAACAGATATCACAGAATCAATGTAGGCTGCCAGTTCTTTACGTCCAATTTCACTTTGGGAAAGCTCTAAGACATAAGGTGCGTTTTTAATCCAAAGTAATGCGTGAATATGAGGCGATCCACGTTGCTGAAATTCTACTCGCCAAAAGTAATCAGTTATTTCTCCTAGTGGTTGAGCTCTTCCACACAGGATATGATTGAAAAAAGCGTTAAATCTTCTGTTGAAATGTCGAGCGGCTATGTCAGGGTTTTCAGATAGATAGCGTCTCCTGTCTTGCGAACTTCTTGCCCTTGCTTGTTCTAAGGTTAAATTGGGATCACAGGCCCTGAAAAAGTCCGGCCACACGGTATCCGCTGCACTAAGTGTTAAAAAAAAATGTTGCCCATCGTCTCGGTAAACTCTATTGCCCAGCATGCTCATTAAATCATCTCTTATATTCGCCCAATAAAGTCCTGTACCTCTAACACTTCTAAAAAACGGCTTTAGGGAGTCTAATAGCTGCACAGCCGTATTAATTTGACTTTGTAAGTTTTTAGAACAGCCATGTATATCTGGTACTACCCTATCTGGAAGCGAAATTCTGCGAACTAGACCGTCAATCTGTCTTCTTTGTATAAGGTTTAAGCAGAAAAATTTAAAGTTTCGATGAATTACAAACCGTCTATCGTGCCACTTCATTAAATGTGCACAATAGTCAGCCAGTTTGTATTCATGGACACGGTCTTCAATACCAGTGCTCTAAATGCACCTTCGCCATTTAAAAACAGAGACGGAAAACAATTCTGCATGAGATAAGTAGTTGAATATTCATTCATTGGATCAGTATGGCCTCGTTGTTCACCAATTGGATATACTGGTTCTCCGATGGCATTATTAACTGCTTCTACAATTCTTTCAGATTCTGTTAGGCCATCATTTGTACTAATGTAACGGGGTTACACGGGTTTACACCTGGTGTATTCCACACATGGGTACGGAGTACCCGAGTTAACAAACCTTCAGTACATGACTCGTAGAGTTAACAGTGGCCTCAGTACATAGGCTGAGAGCCACAGGATATGCATTTGATTGGGTTTTAC